GTTTTTTGGGTACTTTATTTTTCCTGTAATACTTCATTATAGTTTTTAAGACAAAGCTAATTGAAAGGGGCGCTGAGCAGAGTTACAACCAGGGATTACAAACAATTACTTTTTTTTCCTGCAGTTCGGCACCCCTTCCAGCAGGTGGCGCTCTAGGCGACCGCCTAGTTCGCCTATGCCAAGAGCCGGCTCTGATTACTTTTAAATTAAAAAAGACCTGTTCCCTTCAGAAACTGATATTTTCTGACTTCCACCTCCACTCATTTTGTTGCAGRCGTCACCTCGCTCTGCCTCTGTGTTTAAACCGACTAATTTGCCTTCATTCCACCTTCTCTGTGGCAGCACTGACCTGGAGGGAGATTCTGTAATCTTTTCCTGGCTTCAGRCGGTTGGTGTCCAGGCTCCAGAGTTGGTTTAGCACTTCAGTCAGCTCCTTGTTAGACGGTCGACTGGATAAAGATTGAAAAAAAAAATCATCATTCAGTCATATATTGAAGTRTCCCTGGACAAGGCACTGAACCCCCACTACCCAAGTGTCCCATCAGTGTATAAATGTGATTTAAAGCACTGATTAGTCTCCATAGAGTGGTCTATCTGGGTTAGCTTTGTGTTAAAACACTTMAAGAGTTCATAAAGCATGCATATAAAAACAAGAAGCCTATTTTCCTATYAGAACCATAAACAAATATTTAAAAGTTGTTTCCTTCAATTGCAAAGTCCCAAATTTAGACTAGCCTCCAGAAGTAAGCAGATGCTTTATACAGGGTGAGTCAAAAGAATCAAGATGTCCTTTTATTTCAGAAACAAAAGGAAAATAAAATATCAAAAAAAATGCCAGCAAGTAATGGATGAGGGTAGCTATATCARAACATGACCACCATCTTGAAAGCCACCATATTGGATCAAAGGCATGTTTTTGCCCCAAGGTCATTTAGTGTATTAATGAAGAACTGTCTCAGAAATTGATTGCTGCAGTCCGACKTCTGAAACTTAAAAATGTCTGATGCTTTTTGATGAGATCAGCTAAATAATTTCAGATCTGTCACCAACGCAAAACCCCGTAAAACAAACCTGACCCCGGTGTGGCGAGAGCCTACAGGAACTAAATATAAGGAWACAATGATTACGAACACCAGATGCCTCAAATACTGTGGAAAAAGTAATAAAACAAGCAGAAAATAGGACCAGGTGTGTGAAAGAAGCAAAAAGGGTAATAAAGAAAAAGGACCAAGAAAACAAAACCTTTTTTTTTTCACAATTAGAGAACCGGGGTTTGTTTTTGATCCTTTATTCAAACTTACAGAACAGTGTACTCTAGTAGTGAGAAGGAAAGTGACGTTTTCTGCTGCGTGTGATACGTATGGAGCCAAGCGCGTAATCACCATCCTAAGGGGGGCATTTTTTAAAGGTCTTGTTTTTCCTGCTTCGGTTGAAATAAGTGGGGGGGGCCATGTCCCAACCTGTACCTATGGTGGTTACGCCCAMTGCTTGGAGCCGTTAGTAAAAACAGGATGTGTGTTTTTATTTGCACAGACCGTACAAGTCTGAAGTCGTTCTCTTTGTGGAAATCCCTGTCCTCCTTTAGGGTTTGTTGCTGATTCGTTTATTCACAGTTTGCAGAAACTTGTTGCTCAAAGATGTTCGTCAGGAAGGTCAAAAACTTATAAAAACCCTGTTTTCCACTGGAAAACAAGTTGACTCATAAATCTTGTTTTTGAACACTGCTGCATTCAATCACACAGAAAAAAACACAGGAAAATGTGTAAATCTGACTRTTTAACACAGTATAACTAAACTAAAAACTATCCAGCTAAATGTGAGAAGCTCTAACACCTCCCTGTTGTTGTTTACCTGCCAGACAAATCAAAACAATGTGGAAAAATCTGATAACCAGAGGGGTAAACTTCCAAACACCACACCCCCCATCCTTAAATTACATCAACTTTTATTTACTTTTGCAACCTTGCTAAATGATACACAGGCTTATTCAGCRCCACAGGGCTTATCTGATTTTTAAATGCTAATAAAAAGCATTAAAGGTGTTTTGAAACCACCACATGTYAGGAACCACAGATGATCAGGAAGGAAATGACAGGAAGTGTCTGACAAAAACTTCTTCTGTGTTCTTTATTAAGTCCATACAACTCTAAAATGTCACAAGTCGGTTTTTAATGAGAAACCGGAWGAGGATAATCTATGAGGTCTAAATAAAAAGTGTGATAACGGTTAAAAAGTTAACTTAAAATGATCTGTGAGCGCTCCTTCGAAACCCGATTAAAAATACAWATATAAAACTTTTTTTTTATTGTAATTCCTTTGCAGTACAAGACTTACCTGTTGGCCATGGCTTCGTTCAGCGAGGAAGAAAAAAAATACTCTGAATTCTAATATTCTCAGAAAAGCAGAAGAGAAACTGGTGCGCCAATGGTTATCTGAGATGTCAATCATAGGAAAACTAGCCAATCAGGAGATTCAAGACGTCTTCGTCCCTCCTTCCTAAAACAATAATGGGGCGGGGCTTCTGATTCAGCTACCTGTGGGTTTAGTTATGCTGTAACATATTACGGGTTTTTTTTCTCGGCGTGGAACGAGAGGTTTAACGATTTTAATAAACTGAAGTGTCCCTAAAGAGAGATATGCGAACAAATTTAGTTATAAAATATCACTCAGTCTGAGTCATTTCACTGTAAGTGGAGTATTTCTAAGAATAATATATTGTATATGAGTCTGCCCTCACAGACGGCCAAACTAGAGGCATTTATGGCTTTAAAAATGTCATACTGATCTGACGCTCAAGCCATTCCTGCTTCTGCTAGCAAGAATAATCTGTTTCAGCTTTTACTTTGAAAACCTCTGCTAACAGGAAAACGCTGCTTYTGCGCATGCGCATTAGCTCCACACGTTGTTTTGGATTCGCATGTCGTTTTAGTGGGTTTGACACGTTGTTTTCTTTGTTGTTCTGTAGTATATTTCTCGCAGAGGTGTCTGCAYGGTCTTTTAGCAGATGTTCTTTTTTATTTAGGCTGTATATTATTGACAGAAAAACAGGCGGATGCTTAAAGGAAACTCGTTAGCCTGCTAGCTTAGCTTAGCTCCCCGTAGGAACCAATGAGCATGGCGGAGGTGGTGGGGCTCATCGCTGGCTGCTACGAGCAGATCATCTTTGGTTACAGAGTACATCCTGATGAAAATGTGAGTTGATACTTTTGTGTGTGTGTGTGTGTGTGTGTGTGTGTGTGTGTGTGTGTGTGTGTGTG